TTGTGGATATATACAGTATCCCCTCAAGAATGCTTGTTAAAGTTAATTTTCGCATGAACATTACTTACTAAGTTTGATGGTACCTTTAATTTCTTATTTTAGACTCTAAAACCCTGTTCTGTGTATAAATTGGAATCTTTTACATTGTTTAAACAACTATTTGGCTCTGCAGACAACATCTCACCTACATTTATCTCTTTAGAAATTAATATACTCTAACAAATATACAGAAATTGAGTTATTAAAAATTATACATTTTGAACAGTCAATTACAAACTTATATTTATTTAGGATTTTAAAACCTAATATTATATCAAATCCAGACGATAAAAGTTGCTTTGAAACTATAAATTTTGTTACGAATGATTGAACAATAAGAAATATTTCTGTATTCGTAATTGAACTAGTACTTATATTTACACCCGTTACAGCAGTTAGACTGATGTGTATTCTTTGACCTTAAAATCATTTAATTGTTGAAATATATTAGAAGAAATAGTATTTATAGCTGCAGCTGTCTCAACCTAGGCTCTACAGTTTATCTTATTAATTTTAAGTGGTATTATAGGTGGAAAATTTTAAGTTACAAATCAATATTTTAGCCCTGTTATTGTTAATTTGCTGATTTCGAAAACAGTTTGTGAACCATTTATTAATTTCAGTTAATTGATCATTTAACTTCGGTGATTAACAGAATTTCAACTTTGTTCCTTCTATTAGGAATTGAAATGGGCTACAGGTGGCAGGACTCACTATCGTGGCATGCTTTCACTATTAGCGTTTGGGAGAAATAAGTACGTTAGTTTCTGTCTTGACTTTCAAATAGATTAAAAACTTTTAGGCTACGAAACTATATGTAACTCAAAACTGCATTAAACATAGTTCTTAAAAGAAGTGTCGTGGAAATTTTTGATAATTAAATACGAAAAATGTTATGGAAGCGGGAAAATATCGTAATACATTACTATACAACTGGAAAAAGAAGGAGAGGAAAGGGGGGAGGGTCAAGACATGGAATTGGTCGATGGTTGTGCTTACGAATACTGTAAATAAACTCCCATGCATATGATTCTATTATTTAAATTTTTATTAAGTTAATAACAAACATAGTTATTATTCGTGATTTAAAATTGATATCTATAAAAACAAAAGTAAATTCAAATGGAAGCAGAAAGTTTTGTGTCGATAAGCGGTTAACAGCTGTTTAATAATCCTGAGTCTGATTGGTTGTTCACAATTACAAAATGAGGTGATTTAACGCAAAGCTAAGAATGAATTCAATGCAGTATAATAATTTTGATGATTTGAATATGCTCTAATTTTTATTCTGAACATGATGAACATCTGAAGATGTTCGAATTGTTTGATGACGTTCAACCATAGTTCCATAGATGTTCAACCAATTGAATTCTGAATAGCAACTGATATTGACTTGAGCGCCGCCTTATGGCTTAATTTGACAAATCTTAACACATAGCCACCAACATTTTCATTTGAATCACAATGAAGTAACTGAATTTTTCAATACAGAACATTTCAATTGCGTAAAAAAATTCTATAAGAAAAAATTATTAAAATTTTAATTTTCTTTCCATATTTTTTAAAGAGCGAGGAAAAATCGTGAAAACAGATCAAAAGTTTATATGGTTAATATTAAAAGTAATAGCATACTTATTTCAAAAAACAAACATACTAGAGAGATGATTTAAGGATTACTTATTAAAAAGCAGATTAAAAAAGTAACCGACAATAGTGAGCCACAGGAGCTTGTAATAAATAATAATGCTTGTAATAAATAATTTTTATTCCGTAGAGCAGCATTTTTACTTCCTAAAACTTCTCAAAAAGATTTTATGATTAAAAATTGTTAAGCTTTCTGAAGTTACATTTTTGCATATTTATTCACCGCTTTTCAAAATGTTTCTTAATATATACTTATTATTTTTGAAATAAAAACTTTTTCGTTAAAATGTAATTGGAAGATATTAAATAATAGTGAGTTTTTTTTAAAGCTTTTTTTTCTCTTCAATTTAACGAAAGATGTAATTTTTATTCATTTCAGATAAAAAGAATTTCCCTTTCATTTCTACCTAAAGAATATTTATTCCTTTATGCATACTATAAAATATTCTTGTGTATACATTGTTATGTATTACAGTACAAAGAAAAAATGATATTTTTCATATCATGTTAGGAGAATTTTTCCCGTTTTTTTTATATTTTTTTAAAGCCAAAAAAAATGAGACAGAGAGAGATCTTTTATTTGATCAAATTAAAAATATCACTCCGAAATAAATATCGAAATAAATAAATAAATAAACAACTACTTATTTGAAAAGATGCCTACTGAAATAGATACACAATTAGAAATTAAAATAAATTGCGCCAATCCTGTAAATTTCAAATAAATATATATATATATAAAGCCTGATTTATATTAACCAAGATATATTTTTTTCTTCCAAATCTGATGCCTCGCAATGTTCAGTGTTGTTTTGTTTATTAGAAATCGAAACCAAACGAAGATGACCACTCGAATTCACTTACAAAATCGGGGGCCAGCCAGTGTTGCTGATCACGGGCTACAGATCGAGACCGATTGTTAAAAGGCTCAGCGTAGCGCACCCGAAATCTCGAGAAAAAGTTTGTTTTCTGCTTTGATCTGCAGACAGAAGCAGACATATGTGAAGACCGTTTAAGATCTCTTGAAACCGGCCCTTTAGCAGTTTTTAAATGTTTTTCTAAATCACTATTGAATTTTTTAATTCATTATTTTTTCTCGTCCTTAAACATTACGAAAACTGTGTTTATTTGGAACAGAAATTTAAGTTTATAATATTTATTTTGTCGAAGAAAATAGTAGTTGTACTTTATTTACGTAGTATTAGAGTTGCACGATTGGTGACGATATGGGAAACATCCGAGAGGAGGATCTGAAGACATTCCATCCCAATTTTGATCCTCTGCAGAAGGTATGGCTTCCCTGCTTTGGTAGAGCGGATAAAGTGACCTGCGTGCGAAGTCGAGTACTTTACGCTAGAACAGTTTCACGAGGATTGATACCGCGCACCCTCGGCCCCTTTGCAGGTTGATCAATATGATCACCTTTCCTCTCAATGACTGCTGCCTGTGATACTTGACTTCGGTGACCTACCGTGAACGGCGTGAGAAAATAAAAATGGAACATTTATTTTCAGTGGACAATGGAGTGAGCACTCTCAGACTTTGTTGGTTTTTTTTATTGAAAATTTCATGAGTGATGGATTAATATTTTAAGATGAAATCTGATAATTTTCATATAGAAATACTTGCTTATCTAGATATATAGGAATATGGCTTCTATCTCTATCACCTCTGAATCAGTATTTATAAACTGTTTTTTAACAGTTTTATTATTTTATTCAAAATTATTAAGGCTATATGACACGAGGCAACTTAGTTGAAAGCAATTAGCGGTTTCGGTGAAGTTGAAACGGGTCATATGATGGTTGACCGGTTGCTTTCAACTAGCAACTGAAGTTAAAACCTTTCAACTTTAGTGGAGCAACCAGATTAGTTGAAACGTGTCATATAGTAGTTTCCAAATACTTTTAACCTTAACTAGCAACCATTTAGTAAGCAAAATACACGTGCTGATTCTGACGCATCCTGAATTTTCATCTTTTAAATTTGAACTTGGTTTAATCTTCTAACTATGACTAGTTTTAAATGGAATTCTAGTGATATATGTATTTTTATTATTTTTTTTTTTAAATTTTTCAAACGTATCCATGTCTTTGGGACATATATAACAAAGATTATGCGAATAAACTAATTCCCTATAAACTAATTTCCTCTGTGGAGATATTTAAAGTTACAAATTATTATTGAATTTTAAAAGTGAATGAAAAAAAAACTAGCATATTACTAATTACAAATGTTTAAATATTTGAAAATTCAAAATTATATAGCTTGAACGCTAAGCTTTTTAAACTCATTTTGACAGATTTTGATAGATATTTCTTTGACAGATATTTCCGAGTACTAATGAAATTTTGAAAGCAAACGAAAGAAATTATTTTGCTTTTAAATTACCTTTTTTCTGTTCTAGTTCTTCTTTCAGAGCCTCAGCTATCAGCTCAACGCCTACTTGAAGTACATCGTCAATAATAGCTTCCATGATAATTAAAAGAGCTTTTAGCAATAAACTTTATTGAAAAATATAAGTTCTGGTATTGGACTATTCAGAGTTGGTTGAACAAGCGAAGGTTGTAATGTGTGATCACAAACGAGAAACCAAAAACCGGTTTTTTTAACTTAGTTGCCTCCACTTGGTTGCCTAGTGTCATCAGCACTTTAGATTTGTTTGACAAAAAAATATATTTATTGGTATATTGAGATACCAATCGGTATTCCCGCAAATTTTCATATTTTTTCCACAATTTTTCCTGATCATAATATCAGGAATACTGATATTAGTGCATTTAACATAACATCTGCTATTAGAGCAAGAATTTCAAGTATATGCTATTAGTATGAAAAAGTAAAAGCGAAATCACTTTAAAAGAGACCCACAGTGGACTGATCGTAAACACACCGTTCCCAGTAGAACACCGAAGTCAAACATCACTGACTGCGGTCAGTAAGAGGGTGGGTGACCACTTTGACCAGCCTGCGTTGGGACTGAGGGTGCGCAGTAACGATCTTCGTTAAACTGTTCTACCGCAAAGTGCTCGACTTTACACGCAGGTCGTCGGGCTACCAAAGCAGGGGAGCCAGCCCCTTTGTAGAGTATCAAAATTGCGATGGCACGTCTTCGGATCTTTCTTAGGGACGTTTCCCAGTCTGTCGTCAATAGCCCCTAGTGCAGCTCTAGTACAACGTAAATATTATTATTATTTTAAAGTAATGTAATAATAAAGTAATATAATAATAAAGTAATATAATAATAATGTAAATATTATTATTATTACTATTTATGACGTCACTCTAGAGACCCGTGTTCAATTGAAAACTATTGATTTGCTTATTTTCTTTATGTAAATGGCATCTGGTGCTTGGTTTTCAAGCGGCGTGATTGAATTTTTGTAAACAGTGTTTGCTCAAAAAACAATGCAACATTGACTTGAGGATTTATTTGAACTGTCCACTGTGTTTTTATTTTTTGCTATTCAGTTCTTTCCTTGCATTGTTTCTTAATTGTTGATATTTTGTTAGTGTATAAATTGACTATTGGTTAATAAGCGCCAATACAGCAGTCCGAATGTAACAAGTGCTGTGTATTAAAACATTTGATGTCTGTGCATATAAATTAAAGAAGCATCTTTTTATTCATCTAGAAATGAAGATTGTGAATATTAAAATGAAGAAAATGCTATTAAACTCTAAATCCATTGCTAAAATAAGTTTTTACAATAAAAATTTTCTGGATACTTCAAAGAAACAACCGTGTATGGGAGAAATAGGGTAATATAAATAAAGCACTCTCGCAACAGTCAGTTGCTGGCCTAAAGGGTAATGAAGATTAGGGCTTCACAATTTCGAGACCAGGGGTATGATGGCATTGAACACCAACCACTCTTACTTCCCCGGTAAGCTGGTATACATCAATCTGCTTTTGGTTAGGTTTGGATCTGCTTCCAGAGATAAGGCCAAATCACAGCTGATGTTTTAACTAGGGGAGATTTCCATACCTGAACCTGCTTTGAAATTATCACCAAGTTTATTATTATTTTTTTTTATCTTGTAGCCTCACAAGCCTAAAATATATATATATATTTTAATATTTTGCAAGTAAAATCCCATTCTAGCTCATTGGTGATTATAGTTTGTATGAACATGTATCCATACGAAAATATCTCCCTTAACTAAGTTGTCATTGCGGCTTATTGATGTAATTTTTGTATTTAAATGATTTACTATGTTTTAATGATAGTGTGTTTAATTGTACTTATAGAATGAAATAGTGAAAATTTTATCTAGTGAGGCTCTTAAAAAATCATCATAACAATCTGAAAAACTAAATTATTGGATGTCAAGTATGATTACATTAAATACTATATCAATATTTAGTCTGTAATCCATGTTCTCTATTTTTGACTGCTTCAAAGAAATGACTCATAATAAAAACCAAGATATTAGAGAAGTTTGATATTCATTCAGAGGCAAACTCAACTTTACAATTTAATTTTTCTATTTAATTGCTCTAAAATTTATTAGAAATTGAAACAAAGTAAGACGTATTATTGATCTTCAGATATAAGGGTGTATGTAAAGATCATAGAGAGAGTTCTACTGCTAATAGTTTATTTAATTAAATAGAAAAGGATGGAGAAAAAAAAGCTTTGTCATAAAATAACTCAAAAATTAATGTTCTGTACGTCCTCTTACAAATCTGTAAACTTTTAATAAAGAAGAGGGACCCTTTTAATAATTTTATAAAGAAAAAAAGGAAGAAAAATTCAATTTTGATTTAAAATAACTCAGAAGCTAGACCACAGCAATAACAATATCATATTCCTTAGACATTTCTCTATAAAATTTACAAAATTTCATGTATTTTTTCATCTATTTTTTTCTTCCTGTTACTGTTACATGAGTAAGGAGTACATATTTCAAAATTTTTCTTAAACAACAATGGGGGTAATGATGGTAGTAACTTCGATAAATCTTTAAAAATATAATCACTAAACAAATAATATTTTATGTTAAGGAAAATATTTATTCTTTTGAATAAAAATAAAAAAATTTTTTTCGTTTGAAAAAAATTTAAGTACTTTCGAAAATTTATAAATGCTTTTTCTTTAATTTTTATTTTTTTCAATTACAGAGGAAAAATAATTATTTTTAAGAAGAAAACTTATTTCTTGATAAAAAATTTTTTTGACATAAAAAAATTGTAAATAAATATTTCAAAAAAATTATGTATTCTAATTCACAAGATAAGTTAATCTTTTTCAGTTTAAACTGAAGATTTCACACTAAAATACATCAATAAATACTTTTTTAATATACATATTTAAAATAACTGAAAGAAATAACATATTTTTCAACAATAAAAAAAAAATTAAAATCTGTAATCAGCTGGGTTCAGCTCAATTACGATGTAGATGTCTTAACTTTTCAAAACTGCAAGTTTTCTATATTGTTTTTTTTTTATTATAATATTAAATGAACTCAAACTCTGAGGGATCATATCTGTACCTAGGGGAAATCACAGTTAAGGATAATTTTTACCCCATCCTATGATTTCAACTGAGCTCTTTAATTTTAGTTTGGTCTTGTTTCAGTTTACATCATACAAATTTTATAGATGTGTATTACCCTCGTCAGTATTAAACAAAAAATAAGTAATAAGCAGTTTTCAATAGAATATCAAATTTTCGAATTAGCTATTGGAAAAAAAAAATTGAATTAGAAGTTCAATGGATAATGAAATTTTGAAACAGCTCTGATAAGTCTAGTCTTATTTTTGTTTGCAATGTTTGTTTTTTAATTTTTTTGAAATAGATTTTATTGTTTTTCTTTATCACAAATTATATCTTTAAAAATTTAGTAAATTAAATAAATAGCATTAGTACTATATAATAACTACTGCCAACATGTCATGTTAAGTGAATTCATAAAAAAATATATTCAGTTTTGCCAATTTTGAAGGCACTTTCAGGTTTCTTTAAGAGACACTTTTTTTCATGAGTTGAATTCGTGTGCAGAAATAAGTGGATCATAACCTTTAAATTATTACTTAGCTCATGTAATAAGTTAAATTGCATAGTCAATTTGTTTTGCAGTATATGTTTCATTGATTCTTTTATTATTTCTTTAATCTAAACTTTGACACTGTTTAAAATTTAAGAAAATTTTTAAATTTAACAACAAAGTACTTAAATACTGTACAAAAATCATATTTGGTAAAAGTAAAAATAACATAAAGTGACTGATTTCCGAACTAAATTATTGAGTCTTTCAGACTGTTTATTGTTTAAAGGCTGATTGAATTCATAAAATTATATTTTCCAGTTTGACTTTATATTATCTGCTCTAAATTAATTAATATGTTTTAAATACATAAACTTGAAGTTTTTTTTGTAAATATAAACTTTTTTTTCTTTCAAGGTGCTTTATTTTTACATTTGTCATTATAGTTTCCTTTTGTGATGGCGAGAGAAAACTTTGAAGGATCGAGAATAACATCAAGAATCTCATTTGTCTGTCTGCCATAGTTGTGTTCTGTGGAAAGAATTTGAAATTCGTCTTGCTTCTCACAAACTAGGTGTGCATAGATTAAGTATATAAATTTTTGATTGAATTTAAAACTAATGAAAATGAAAAATGACTTAATCATTTACAAGGCGTTCGATTATTACCACAAATATTTTATGTTTTTAGAATCTTTGTAAATATGAAGTAAAAAATATGCACACCAAAGATTACAAATTATTTATGTGAGAAAGAGTAAAACCGTGTTTTTCAAACTCTGACTAACCTCTGTCAAGGTAGGCAAGAGAGAAATTGAAATAACCTAAAATTGGTTAATTTGAAAATGAGACTTAAAACACTGCTTCTAATGAAGGGCGAACAGGTTTCAGTCTAACTAGACAAATAAACTAGTTTTTGATACTTTCAATCCCTTCTTTGCTCTTCCTGACCTCAACAATAGTTACTAAAAATGTAAAAAAAAATTTCCTTCTAAAATGCTTTTGGTAACCTCTAATGTGCATAATTTTTTTAATCTTATTTTTAGCAAGAACTTTAATTATATAGGTTAAAAAGTAGTTGTTATGAAACACCCGGTATACAGCAAGAAAAGGTTTTTAATGTTAATTTCTAGTAGAAATTAATTTTGTAGAGAAGATAAAAGAAAAGTATCAATTTCAAAAACATTTGTTCTAATGATTAGATGTTCACATATTGAAGTACAATTTGAATAGTGATTTTTAGCATTCTTTTTCAATAATGTATATGCATTATTTTATGATTGAATAATATGCAGATTAAATGGTCTTAGGTCCGACAGGCTCTTTTTACATCCTGAGTCTTATATTTAGTTTTAATTAAGATTTTTTATGCATTTTGTGTCATTCTTTTATTTTATTTTGTTAATGTGTTATTTTATGATTGATTCAAATCTGTACAGTTGACATGGTCTGTGCCTACAAAGAATGCTATTTTTACATTTACAAAGGTTATGAATGCATATAAGAGACTAATTTCCACATGAGGATGCAATGTAGAGTAGGTACAGTTATTTATAATAAAAAGTAATCCATATTTCTTCATTTTGTTTCATCACAGATTAAGCCCTGGATAAATGGTCCTGTCACTCTTTCTTCATTCATAGAGAATTCAAGAAGTTATGCATTTTTAGAGTGGTAACATCAAAATAAATAGTGGTTTATATTATTTTCTGGAAACTTTTGCTATCCATTGATATATTGCCAATAGAAAAATGCAAAAATGTTTAACATCTGTTTTTAAGTGATTTTCTTAGAATTAAGAAAAAATATATATTTTGGTCACTATATTGAAATCAACAGTTCAGTTTGGACATTCTACTGCAGTGCTCCCCAACCTTTTTATCACCGCGGACCAGTCAATGTTTGATAATTTTTCTGCGGTCCACTGGGGGGGAGGGGCGTTGATTGCTTATGTCTTATAATATTATTTTGATTTATTAATTTTAATTTAATTGTATTTAAGCATGCCTTCAAAATAAAATACAGTTAAACCAAAAAAATGAATATAAAGTTATTTAAAATTTTAACTTACTAGAACACTAAATCAAGGAGAACCCTGAGCTTGTTTTTTGCAATGAGACCGTTCCATCTGGGGGTAATCGGAGACAATAGACAAATCGGATACATTACAAACATTCAAAAATTTATCTGACTAGTTTCGGGGGCCCCTTTTTATTAAGTAAATAAAATTTTAATGGAACTCAGATATTTTTAATCTGGGGTATAAGCCTAGGAATTTAAATTCAGTTTCAATGAAATGGGCGGCCCGGTACTATTTGATTCATGTGCCGGTCCGCGGACCGGAGGATGGGGAACACTGTTCTAATGGATTGTAAAATAACATTGTGTCTATGAAATAGCATACGGATTATTATGCATTGGTCATTATAATGGAAGGGTTGTACAAGAAGGCATTGACTGTATAGTGTATATAGATAGATGTATATATACACTATACAGTCAATGCCTTTATAATATAGCATACATAGATAAATAGATATATTGTTGGAGGCTAATTGGGATTGCGGGTTTTGCAAATTATGGACTGGTTAGGCTTATTGCAGTGGGTCTTGTAGGCACTGTCTGAAATTATGGTGGCAGTTTGCGAAGAGCCAGATTTTCCAATTTCCCTATGACTTATATAAATACATATTAAAGGCTAATAAGTAATATTTTAGTTGGAAAGAGCAAAAGTATCATTAAACTTGTCAACCATTTTGTAGTTTATTATACAGAAGATATGCTTAAATTTTTTTTTTTTTTGCTTCATTTGTGACAAGAATTTAATAATATTATAATAAATTATGGGATTGTATTGTATTCAGCTTTTAAATCTTTTTATAAATTTTTATTTTTTTTGTTTCATTTGTAGAAAAAATGGCATCTACAAATCAGTGGTGTGTTCCGGATGAAATGAACGATGTTTTATCTGTTGAGTTTGATCGCAGTCTATCTGAAATGGAAATGGATTTTCCTACAAATACCACAAGGTTCTCATTTTATCATTGTATTTTAAAATCTTGTAAAATTCTAATTAAATAATTCACTAGTTTATATTTGCACTTATTCTTATAGTTTTTCTTTATAGAATTAACTATTACTAAATACAACAATTACTTCTGATTTTATCATTTGCTGTGAGTTTCCTTATTTTTGCATTTATTTTAAATAGTAAACTGTTACTGGTTGCATTTTTTTGTTAATTTTTTCATTTAATAATTTTCATGACCAAAAAAAAAAAAATAAATAAACTATTTATAAATGGTTATATACTTTTATCAAATGTTTTCCAACATAGATATATTTTTAATCTTTCTAAAAATAAATTAAATAAAACAATACTCTCAATTAGGATCATAAATAAATATTTCAGTGAGCAAATTTGTTTATTTTTGTTCATTGAAAAATTATTATTGCAGGCCATTTGAAAACTACTAAAAATAAGTTTTAATTGCATGACTATTTGTGCAATTAAATTTATTGAGCTTCAATCAGTTAAAAAGTTTATTAAACAAGAATTCAAAATTAGTTTTATCCAGGGTGTAACAGCCAAATGTCTAAGATGAAAATGCAAGCAACAGTGAAATAATCGCTCAAAATGGGTGTGTTAAAAAATGTAATTCAAAATGCTTGTGTAAGAAAATGGATACAGCACAAAGTGTGCCATTTTAATGTTAAAAAGTGAACCCATTCATTTATATATTTTTTTATTACCAATAACGGTCTAGGAAGGTAGCCTTAAAATTTAAAATATAGTGACCAACAAAGAGAAAAATTCAATACAAAAAATTCAAATTAAAAAGAAAAATTCAATTAAAATTAATGAAATGTTTTTTAACTTATTTCTTTAGTTTGTTATTTAAAATGAAAGCTTTGATCTTAGAAGATTTTTATTTTAAGCACATATGATTGATAACATCAATATATGATGGTATCTATGAATGAATACTTAAATTGCCGGCCAGGTGGCCGAGCGGTTAGCGCACCTGACTGTGAAGCCAATGGCTGCGGGTTCGAATCCCGCTCTGGGTATGGATGTTTCTCTCTCTTGTGTTGTCCTCTGTTGTGTGTGATGTGTGAATGTGGGGCACCCTATAAAGGGGTTTGTAGCAGTGTGGCGTGGGTAATGTTTCTCGCCTCCGTTACTTTGGTTCACAGGTGCCCACTGGGTAACGTGAAATGAGTAACAATTCCGGCATCTTCTAAGGCGAAGAATAATGTTCAGTGCCTGCCATTTGAAAAACAAAAATACTTATATTGGGAAATTGAATGATTTAAATTTCTACCACATTTTTATTTTTTGGATGCATATTCTATCACTGTTATAAGAATACTTGTTCAAAGAAAAGTTCTAAAGAGAACCTTTAAAGTTCATTGGATAAAGAGTTATATTAAAACTATGTACAAAATAATTCTTGTGCTACAAATTTGTTTGGATTTATCTGTTTATTATTTTAAAAACACTAACATGACAGTAGTTTGAAAAATTCTTTGTCCATTTCCTTAGTCACTCATTTTAAGTGGTTTCTATTTGTTTTAATATGCATTTTAAGCTGTATCCATTTTCATAAACATATTTTTTGAGCTTTGTTCGAAATAAAAAGCTCACTGACTATTTGTAATACTTTCAATATTCTCCCCAGAGTATTTGGTATGATTCAAATTGCTATAATCTTGTATTGTAAAGATTTTATACAAATGAAGATTTTTTACTTGTTTAAATGATTCTGACTATTAGTAATTTAATTAAAAATTAGTATAATTCATTTTCATTTTATAATGTTTGTTGCCTGTTGCTTTTTTTTCTTCAAATTTTTATATACAAAAAAGAAAAATGAGTAGTTTTCTTCAAAAAAGTTATATATTTATTGGAGCAGGTTTTCCTGGGAACGTTATTTCACGAAATCTTAATTTTGTACTTAATCTTTTTGTACTTAACATAATTAATACTGGTTCATGGATGATATGTCCTATGAAGAGTCAGAATTTATTATCATATCTTTTTATAGCAAGATTTTCTAAAAAATATTCAGCATCAAGTTCCTTATCTGGTCGGCCATTTACTGGAAGGGTCTCTTTTCCACACACTTTTTAACAATAAAAGTAAACAAAAATCTTTTCCTATTTCAAAGGAAGAAAAAAAAATCTGTTTTAAAAAAAAGAAATGCAAGGATGAGAATTCTCTGCTTTTCCACTATTTCCCACTTCCTTATGATTTTTACCCGATCTCCGATTTTTGTTCGATTTTAATCCCATTTCCGCTATTATATGAAAAAAATTGGATATAAATTATTTGGATTTGAATCATGCTGAAACGAAATTCAGCATTTCATTGCAGCACAAAAAAATAGTGTATTTTTTCTCACGTCTCGCATAAAAGGATTATTACTGCCAAGAATCCCACTCTATTTCTGAGTGTGCAAAAATTAAACATTTTGAAAAAATTGCAAATTTGGGATGAAATCATCACGACTAAAGTGGGTCATTAAGTAATTATCCAAAAGCGGGATTCGAAATTCCCGAATAATAATATATAAAATATCAAATCAAAAATTTCAAAACTATGTGGAAATCCCAAAATTTTGAAAAAATGATCGGCAAAACCATGTGGACAATATAAAATCGTCACAAATCGAGTGCATCAAAAAGTAATTAAGCAAATGCGTAATTCAAAATTTCCAGTGTTGGATAATGTAGCAATAAAAAAGATAGAAACCCATAGCAATAACTGACAAAAATGCAATCGTAAATCCACTTGGAATTACGGGTGAATCATCAATAATTGAGTGCAAAATTCGTGATTCGAAGTTTGCTGAATTAAATAATATCATATTAAGACATAGAGATTTTTAAAACAAAGTGAAAATCCGTTTTAATAGCTACATGGATTCACTGTGAAATCCTTGCTAATCAAGTGGATCAAGGAATGATTACTAACTGAAATGTGTGATTCTGAATTCGCTATATCATTAAAATATCGTGATTTTAAAACTGGTGTGAAAATTTGCAACAGATGCTACAAAAATAATGCAACCACACCAACCACCTGAAATTATATGTTATTGATTTAAATTGACATCACTTATCGATTTGTCATTTTTTAAATAAGAATATTTTGATTTTTGTTTACTTTAAAGATCTATTGTTCATGAATATGGATATGGGACTTCCCACCGTAGTTGCCTTTTAATTTTTGGTATTTGTAATACATGGAATTTGATTTAAATTTTCTCTTTATTTAAGCTCATCTGTATTTGCTGTGCCTGAGATAAACTTAAGGAAAGAAGAAATGAGTTATGGGTAAATAGAAAACTTTTTGAATTTAAGAATTCATTTAACTGAAATAATATTTAAAAATGTTTTAAAGTTTTTGTATTGTAAATATATTTTTTAAAAGAAAAATATTTGTATATTTACTGTTACAAAAAATGCTTTTTTCTACTGCTAATGCTTATGTCGAAGAAAATGTGTTGAATACATCTTACCATTGCGATTAGAAAAACCTCAACTTTTTTGGAGTGTGAAATTATGGAAAATGGCATATTGTATTGATAATTTGTTGACCAGTAGTTTTACGCAGAGCAACTATGTCTTATCATTGGCTATTATTTTGCAAAGTAAAACAAGTTGGCAAAGTAAGCAAAGGAAAACATTCTAAATGTTGCCCAAACGTTGTTGACTGAAGAAGAGTTAGCTCATCATTGCAAGTGCAATGACAAAGTTAACTCATCATCCGTTAATAATGTTTAAACAAAGTTAACTTGTCACCAATCAACAATTTATTAAGACTGCTCTCACTGCATGAACTATTATCTTGACAACACTTTATATCTGTGGAAGTTTTTGTGAAAATATGAGGAATAAAACATTTCAGAATCATTAATTTTCTTTGTTTCAACAAAGACCTGCAATTTTCTATTTAGCTTTAGTTATATTTCTCTAGATTATTTATTTTTAAGCAGATCAGAAAAAAGTAATTTTTTTTCCACCAGCTTACCATAAATGATTTTCTAAATCAGATCCTCATTTTCATTTTTCACAGAATTAAATTAAAGCTTATGTAAAATTTTTAAAGATGCTGAATTATCCTTTGATTTATTTTGGTTTTTTATTAAATGTTTTTTTCCTTCATATTGTTTTTCTAAATCCAGCTTTAAAATTAACAAGTTTAGAGATGTTTTAAAAACAGTATTAAAAATGAATTTTATTGTGATGGAAAGTGGTTTATGCTAAGCACAATGAAGAAATGGTAAGCAAAAAATTATGAACTTTCATGAGGTAAAATATCTTTTTTGATTTCTGTGAAATAAGGGAGAGTAATTTACATGATATTTGAAGCATAATTTCAATCCCTAGTTTTTTCACAAGTTCATTATAAGAGGAGTTTAATTCATTGTAGGAATTCTGAGAAGTGCCAAATTGAATGCAGTGTTGTGCATGGTAAAAGGATCAGATACTCTCAGTTAACGGATATTGATTGCAGTGTTAAGCGAATCTGCTTCAATAAAGAAGAAATGGAGCGAACAGAAAATTTACAAACAAGGTATATTTTATCCTTATAAAAAATGTAGTCACTTGTATACACATGCTACTAAAAATATCTGCATGTTACCACAGTTAAGGACCCATGTTATTAATGACCATATTTTGAATATTTTTGAGTACTCTGCATATTCCATATATTTGATCTATAACAGTTTAATGTTAAAATTTAATTCGTTTATATTTTTTTAAAATTTAAAATAGATAAATTTGAAAATTAAATAAGGGCTTTTATTCTTAAATTCTCTATGGCACGTAACTTTAATGTAACTGAACTTAACAAAATTATTTGAATTAATAATATTGGGTAATAAATTGCTTGTACTGCATTTCTTTTTCAATTTAAAAACTAATTGTGACTTGTGTTTGAATATTGTTTGTTCTAAGTTAAGCTTCTTGTCATGATATATGTTTTGTTAAGTTAAGATGGAGCTTCTTTAGATTATTTTCGATGATATTGTTAGAAACATATCTATAATAGTTATAAAAATTGAACACATCAAATGAAGGATAATTTCATTTGTTCAAATGGATATGATCTAACAACAAATTTATTTAAATGGTATTACCGGTTTTCAGTTGAATTAACAGTATATTTCTTTTACAAATACACACAAATAACAAAATTTTTTAAAATTTGTATTCATTAAGCTGTACACATAGACATTAAATTTATAATTTACTTTGTTTAATTCTCTTAAATTTTCTTCTTCAGTACAATTTGCTTTCATTTGATTGATGAAATCAAAGTTTTATAATTTGATTTCATTAAATTGTACTAAAGAGAAAAATGAATGATAAAATCAAATCTTTATGATCTTTGAAGAATTCAAAACTTGAATGTTATTTAAATCTTAAAAAAATTTTCAGACATACCTTTTGAAATGTATCTAAATATTATATTAATTTCTTAATGAGAACAAAAATTAGATGACAGTTTAATCATTTAAAGGTTTAATGTTCAGATAAAGATAATAAAAGTAGTGCATTTAAAAATATTGCAAATATTTAAGGTTTCAGAAAAATAAAATTTTTACAGAGAAAAACCTTATTTTAACTATGAAATATAATTAGGACTTAACTGTTAAAAATAAATTGATGAACAAATCTTTCCAAAACTATTTTATTTTCATTACATGTTTTATTTTTGTAAACTAAATACAAGAAAAATTCCGAGTGTGTGACTGAAACCTCAAATCCCTCTCATAATTCAGGAAGTATTCCTAGGAGAGTATTTTTAATCATCAACCAAGGACCTCAATTTTTGTACACATTAGCTCTTCTTTTGGTAGAATCATTATAAAAAAAAGTTTGAGAACAATGACAAAAATATATTTAGCTCAGTTTTGTCTAAATCTATAGTAATGCTTTTAAAAGGCAAAAATACCATTATCTAACCAAGACAGCCTTCATTTAATAGCTTTTCATGCATGCATCTCTATGTTTAATAAAATATAATGTCTGTGTCAGTACCATGTCATGGATAATTGGTGCCACCTTAAGATGCTAAATTTATGTGAAGGTAGATGTTGACCAAACACAGGTTAGCCCCATCTAGAATTTTTTTAAATATATTTAATAATTAATTTTAAAGAATTCAATACTTGCCTTGTGTTTTTGCCAATGCAACTTGTTTGAAATTAAGTTATACAAGTTATGAACGCTGATTGAAAATTTGCACCTATCTAAAAGCCTTGATTTGCAGATATTTAAAAAATATGTGGGTTTTTTTTCGGAAAAAAAACTATTTTATTTTTTATTATAAAGGAATAATTATTCAAATGAAAATTTTCAGTAAAAATGTTTCAGAAATTTTCAAATTATTATAAATAATTTTACAATCGTAGTTGAAATCTTTCCTTAGATATTAATTTAAGTAATTAGTTGATTCAAACATTCATTCATTTAGATGACTTCTGAAATATCTTATTTAAACAATTAAATGTGTTTGTGAACTTTAATAAGGTCCATAAAGGGCTAGAAATTAATGGTGAACCATTGGTCCGAGACCATTAAAATTTGACTTGAACTCCCATAAAAGACATTAAGTAGTCCATCAGACCAGCAACCAATCACCGTCTATAGAGTAAAAAAAAATGGTAAATTGATTTGGTCTTTGTTTTTATAGTTTGATGTTTTGTTCTGTGTTTCTGACACAAAATCTTTGATTTTTGATTTTTCTTATGCAGTGTCAGTATTTTTTTTTTCTAACTTCATTGTAATATTTTTTTATTACTTTTAATTATTAATAAAAAGTTCTACTTTTGACAAATGTGTAACATTAAATGTATTAAATAAAAAATTATGATAAAATTTCAATTTATATAAGGATTAATTTGCATTATATCTATACAAATTGCATTTTTTTTAAACTGTTGCTGTTTGTGAAAATTGCATTGTATTGTAAAACATATTTTGTTTACAAATTTATAAGCATTTCTTTAAAAATTTATTTGGAACATGTGAATAGACCAGATAAAATATTTAAAGACTAGTGAAATATTTTTGTTACTAATCCTTTGGACCAGCTGCTAAAATTTCTTTATTTTTATCTCTGGTGAATATATAGTTAACATACATATTCTAAGGGTGCACTATCTATGGCCTGCCAGCTTTCAATGACCTGTGGCAGCTCCTGAGCATAATAAAAAATATTATTATAACTTTTTGAGAGGAAAATGAAAAACCGGAAATTTTGAATTATGCATTTAAGTTTTTGATGCACACAATTTAAATTAATAAAGTTTTTCGATTGCTTTTTTCAGTGGTTATCACTGCAAATTTCCTCATTTTTAAAAATTCCAATATTTTTAATACATTATTATGCATGAATGTTGAATTTTAGTAGTAACTTTTTGAGTTCATTATTCGTGCCCATTTTATCATTAATCCAAGTGACTTTTTGATCATGTTTTCAGCAGTTATTATCATATTTCCACGTGTTTTGTTAAATCCCACTGTTTTTAATAAGATAATATAATGATTCCCTATTTTAAATATTGCATTCTAATAGTAACTTTTCACTATAATCACTTTTGACATGCTTTATTTATGTCAATTTTATCACAAATCCAAGGTACTTTTCTATCATTTTGTGGCACTTACTGTGACGTATTTCCATATGGTTTTGAAAATTCTGATACTTTTTAATATGAATAAATATGATATTCGAATTTGGAATTCAAATGCGTTTTTTTTTTTGGTGCTGATTTCATCACAAATCAAAAGGATTTTTTTACCGTTTTTTCAGCAGTTATTTCTACGCTTTTCCACAGTGTATTGGCGATCGCAACACTCGAATACGCCATCTGGGGAGAGACCGGTTTCATGCCTTTAGCCCTATAATCAGACAAGTCAATTTTGTCATTTTTNACGATATTTTCCCTTTTCTTAATATTTTTCCTTTTTATTTAATAAAATTATTTTTTAAAATTTCCGTGATACTTTTCTTTAGAACTATGTTTAGTGTAGTTTTCAGTTCCATATAGTTTTCCAAGTTAAAAGATTTTAATCTATATGAAAATCAAGAGAGAAACTAGCGTACTTCCTTCCTCTATGACTTTCCAGACGCTAATGGGGCAAGCATGTGAAGTGTTGGCATAGGTAGCGAGTTCTGCTCTACGCCACCTGCAGCCCATTTCGATCGCCAATTGAAAATCTGAATGTTTTTGATGAGGTATTAAGACTTTCAAATTTTGAATTGCACATTTTAATGATCACTTTTGAGGTGCTTTATTTGTGACGATTTCATCTTCAATCTAAGTTATTTTTCGATTTTTTAAAATATTTATTGCTACTTATTTCTATATGTTTTTTCTAAATCTCGATATTTTTAATACAATATTATTGCAACACACAAAATTTGAATGTGGATTTTTAAACCGCTTACTATTTTTTTAATGTATGCTTTTAATTTCTTGTAGCTTAAAAAAAGAATTAAAAAACAGTTTAAAATTTAACATTCTTAAAATAATAATTCACTAAATATGAATGTCCTAAAGTTAAAAATATATTGAACTGAACAACTAAATCCCAAAATAATGTTGAATCTTATTTTGAGCTATATTGCATTTGTTTTATTTTAAATAATTTTAGATCGCATAAAATTTCTTATTATTAATTTCTTATTAAAATGCTAGTTTGCATTTACATTGTTCAGTAAAATATTTATTTAGTTTTTATTTTTATTCATGAACGTTACAATTAATTTATTTTAAAATAAACTTTTGTGTCACTTGATGTGATAAAAGAAACATTTCTTTTTCGCCTTCTTAATACATATATTTTTTTGATGAATCTATTTTTTGAATTGAAGGAAATATATATATCTTTAAAGTATAAGTTTGGTGTCTTTCAGTTTTGAATGAATTTTAATGTTTAAAAGAATTTAGTTTTAGGCAAATATATTCCTCAGTTAACTTATAAAAAGAATTGTGTCTAAAAGACTAATGTTTAAATTAAAATGATCATAATTGCTGTAAACATGTCTAAATGCTTGGGCACGCGGCCCTTCTTTGATAAACCTACTATACAAGTGGCCCTTCATTCAAAAAGGTTGTGGACCCCATATATGTTCAATAGTGTGTATTTTAAATAATGTGATTTTTGTGTTCCTAGTCTGTTGGCTTATCTAGACTTTCAAATTAAATTGTTTTTCAGAACAATAGAAATAAACAGTTTAATGAAAATTGTTTTTGTAATAAGTCTCGCAAAAAAAAAAAAAAATTATGAAAAGTGTGTAACAGATACTGAAATGTAAAAATTACACAAAATTCCAAATGTTGCAAATTCATGCAGAATGTCACAACTTTACAGTTGGTTCAATTATTTAAGTACTTGATCAAAGCTCAATGTTCTTTTAATGGAGCCAAAATTCAAAGGAATGAATTAATTCAAAAGGAACAAATTTCAAGGAATAAATTAATAATTGATAAAATAATATTTAATAACAAATAGTATATCATTTGATAATGATTTTATTATATATTACAATTAATATTTTAAGAAAAAATATAATATAAGAGCAGAATAAAGTAAGTTTTGTTTTCTACACAAAATTTGTAAATTTGTGTGGCAAGGAATCCACTGAGGTTTTCTTTTGATTTTATAAACTTTTTAACTTTTGAAATTTTAAACATTTTTAACAAATAACAATTTTTTACATTTTCCTACTAAAATTTTGTATCCAAGCTTTCAATCATTATGTTAGTGTTCTATAAAGCATGTTAATAAAGATGGATGCTTAACAAATATTAACTCAGGAAACATTTTTAAATTCCTACTGAATAAGCCATTTTGAAGTAACTTAAGTATAAAAATTACTTCTACCTTATACCAGATGCAGTGTAGAAGCTCTGAACAAATACAAAAATTAATCTAAAAGGTCAAGATGAAAGAAAGTGTTTCCAATATACCCAGCAATAAATTCCATGCCTATAGGCAAATTATTTTTACTTTTCAAGAAAAAATCATAATGCATTGCATGAACAGAAGATCTGAAGAAAAGTTTCCTAAAAAGTAATATGCACAAAAATTGCTATCCATAAGACAATATTAAATAAAATTTAGTTTTATTAGCATACACTTTTATTTTTTTATTAGTTGTTTGTCTTTAAATCTGAACATTGATATAAAATAATCTTTTAATTACTTTTCTTTTAATTATTATCAGATACCGCCAACAAAGTGCACCAGAGCATCGCCATTTTTATTCTTCTGGATCTGTTATTAATACCTTTCTGTCACAAGTTGTCATGTCCCCTTTTCATTGTGTTCTACTAGCTCCAACAGCTATCTCTACTAAAATCAATGAAGAAACATTAACATATTTAAATCAAGGTAAAAACTCGGATACATACCTATTTTGATGATTTTTTCTAATTACATTTTCCTTTTGTTCTTTCAATGTCTAACTTTTGTCCTTTTTTTTAACATTTATATTGTGTTGTGGAACTTGATAAATTTAAAATTATGTTTGAATTAAAGAATATGAAGAATAATTTCACTAAAGCTTACTGTTACCACCTTTTAAATTTGTCAATAAAAGAGTTTGAGCAATCAAAATTGAATAGATCAATTATGGATTTTGACTTTCATAGTTTTTTTAACGCTGTTGCAAATTCATGTCACTCATTATTACTACAGTATATAGCCGTAAAAACTCAATGATCAACATTAGTGACAAGGAGTATCAATATAACCTCAAGGATCAAGAACCTTCAAGTATTTTAGTCATCCTTGAAGTAGAGTAGAGGGAAGGTTGGAAGGGATATTTTTCTCTCAGTGTATTAAACTTGAAAGAAAATTACTTTATTTTCTCTCTTTATATTCTTATATTCAGAATAAAATAAAATTCTTCATTTTATTCTTTATTATTAAATTCTAAATAGGGCAATTGTCTGAAAGAGTCATCTGCTCTGATAAGCTGCTGTCTATCAAATATAAAGGAGTGGTATGCTGATTTTGTTTTCTCTCTAATTTATGAGGGATATATGCACTGCTATAATTTACTAATTACTGTAATAAAGTTGAAAAAGTTAACTGGAAATACAAATTTTTAATTGGAACATGAAATTTTTAATAAAGTGGGAATATAGTTATGCTGTATTTTATCATCTAAAAATAACCAGAAGAATTTAGTAAATTATTGTAATTCAAAACATAATTGACTATAATAGTGAGAAAAAAAGTACAAAAACTATCAAGCATTATATAGAATCCATAATTTACTGAAAAAAAGCAACTATATTTCTATTTTTGGTACAAAGGAAACTGTCAAGTGGTAAGTCTGAGCATAGGTTACACTCCTTCAAAATTCTTCTTTATTTAGTTTGTTGCTGTTCTTTTTGCATTTATTTCCATTTCCTTATTTTTAGCTGCACTTTAAAATTTAGGAACAGAGTGAAAAATTTGAGAAGCTTGTCGTCCATTTTTTTTAAGAGTGTTATGATATTTTTAAAAATAGTATAAGAATCTCCAGTTATTTTAAACTGTATTTAAATGTGAGAAATAAATCGTAAACTGTGTTGGAGTGTAATAATTTAAAGACTTAAAAGCTTTTTTCCTATTCTATTATTTTAATTATTTTTGCCTGAAGTACAGTCCGCAAAAAAAAAACGAATCACCCTGAATAACTTTCGTTCTAATGATCGGATTTTCACGAACTAAGTGTCAATCTTAATGGTTCCTGGGGGTGACCTCAAATATG